CGTCACCTGGATTTAAATCCAGCCTCCTTCTTCCCCCCACAGCACAGCGGTTTCACTCCGCCGCCAGCGTTACAAAACCCTGCTCCTGCCGGTCGCACGCGAGGACAGCGCATCGGGAGACTCTGTGTGATCCTGCAGTCTGGACCTCGGAGACTTCGGCCTGGTTTCCCTTCCACCACCCCTGGACGCCGTTACCACACGCTGCCTGCCTTCCCCACCGCCCCTAGACTCTCCTGCAGCAGCAGCAGAGGACCACCTTGCTCCTCCACGCGCTGCTGGTGACTCATCCAGGAGGAGGAGGGGTCAGGACGGAGCGTGAGACAGCCGTACTCCTCCCTCACTGCTACCCTTGTCGCAGGACAGAGACTTGAAGTCACCGCCTGCCACAGCAACCGCGGAACAGCCGCAAATACTTTCCTGAAGAGCGAATTAAGACACTCACCGATCTGGACGGAAGTCTGTAGCAGGTGAAGAAGAGGAGGATCCAGGTAGAAAACAACGACAGCCAGCAGATTTAAAACAATAAGACATCCTGTAAGAGGGGAGTACATAGGTTGTACGAGTACGGAAGATTTAGAATCCCTTAATAAATAAAAATATATAAAAAATAAATGTTAATAAAGCTGCAAGCAGCGTTGGCGGGCCCTCGCATCCATGCAACTTCGGGGCCGTGAATGGCGGCCGCCGTCACTATGCCGTCGTAACACGTTGCCGACCACAACATGAAAATTTCAATAAATCTGACCAAAGTCGCTTATGCAGCCGCTTACTTCCGGTGTTGACAAGTAGTGAGCCGCCTGATCACTATTCTGAATTATCGTCATGTAGACCGTGTTCAGGGCGGACTGTTATCAACTGTGCTGAAGTTTCTTGACAGTTGGACACCGTACGACGGAAGTTCGTGATGTTGAGACGTGTTTCTGCGGTACCTGATGATATTGAGTACAAGTGTTTTAGTGCCCAATCGTCGGAATTGACACGTCGCCCGGGCACGCGCTAAACGTACAGTTACACAAATAGCACAACTTTGATCATCCAGTGTGTCAGATTGCTCAGTGATGGAATTTGAATCAATCTGGACAAAATCTGATAGGAGGAGTTCATTAAAACACGAAGCCCCAATAAAGACAGACAATGGCATCACAGTTTGAGAATTCGATTCAACCTGCCAACTTTGACGCACGCACAGGACACGCCCTTTCAAACGTACGTGCACAAATGCGCACAACCTTTTATCAGCACCATTTTGTGACTGTACGACCAACTTGAAGGGAAGATCATGATAAATTCCCTAGGAGGAGTTGCGTTCAAATAGAAGGCGAAAAAGCTACAGAAAATGACAAAAAATTACAAACGGCGACTTTGAGCCTACGCCACGGATCACGCTCCTTTAACGGTACATGCACCAATAGCACAACTTTTAATCAGCACCATTTTTTGCTGTACTGACAATTGTTTAAGCACATACCGATAAATTCCCTAAAAGAGTTCGTTCAAATAGAAGGACGAAACATTACACGAAAATGGAGCAAAAAAAGTAAAGAATGGCCAACTTGACGGCACGCCACGGACACGCCCTTCAACGTAATGCACAAATGCACAACTTTAATCAGCACCATTTTCTATCTCTAACTGCCCAATTTTGACACAGATCTGTTGAATTCCCTAGGAGGAGGTTCGCTATCAAATAGAAGCGAAAAAATTCACCGAAAAGATGAGCAAAAAAGTCTAAATATGGGGCCAACTTTGGGGACCGGCACCCAACGGACAGCCCTTCAACGTTTACATGCACAAATGAGCACAACTTTTAATCAGCACCATTTTTTGACTGTACTGGACCAATTTTTGAAGCAGATCCCGATGAATTCCCTAGGAGGAGTTTTGTTCAAATACAACGCGAAAAAATTCACCGAAAGTAAAATGAAAAATCAAAATGGCCGACTTCCCGTGGGGGTTTGGGGTAATGGGTCCAAGAGGCTTTTTCTACGTCTTGGTGAGTTACACGGTGCCTACGAGTTCCGGTACATAATCGTGAAACGTGCCGCCGGGGCTGCTTTTTAAAATTCCTGTAGGGCGGCGCCCTACAAACCGTATAAACACATATTTGGTAATGTGAGCTTCAGGGCCATCACTGCTACACGTGCCTGCGATATTTCATATTCAATAAACTAGTAGGTCTTCACCCAGTGATTTACCATTCCCACCAAGACGCCACCCTAGTGGTGGATTGTTTGCACATTTATATAGGAGAGCCTCAGGGCCATGGCAAGTTATTCCTACCAAGATTTCATTTTAATCCAACGTGACCGATGCGCGACATATAAACTTGTTAATTTAAAGAAGCCGGGCCATCCTTGTGGTGATGGCCTTGAAATTTGACATTGATCCCTGAGGAAAAACACATGTTGGAACTATGCGATTTCAAGTTGTGTCATATCAGACACTACCAATATGAGAAATGCCTCCACTTCCTGTTTTTGCACCAAATACAGGATATAATAATTATAACAGGTTATTTTTGAAATATAAAAAATCTTTGAATGGGATTTTGCCCAGGATGGTCCCCCAGATGCTACCTGACAAATTTCGTGAAATCGGACAAACGCGTATAGTAGTAACACGAAAACAGTGGTTTTGACATTTCGCGCTATAGCGGAAAAAATTCTAGGGCGAAGTTGGCGGTTGCCTATATGCGGGAGTTCACGACACTCACCGAACACAGGTGATATAAGGTTTATGAATTTGCGACAAACTTATTGCAGAAGTTATTAGCCTAAACGCCATCTTTGATGATAGTAGCGCCACCTTAGTGGCGAAACCGAAAGCACACATAGAATTTAAAAGTTTTCCGCCACGACCTGACATGTGTGCGAGTTTCATTGTTGTTGAGCATGTTAGAGCTCCAAAATGCGTTACGTTTTAGAGGAAAAAGATAAAATAAGAAAAAGAAATAGAAGACATTCCTTCAATACAATAGGGCCTTCGCAGTTCAGTTGCTCGGGCCCTAATATCATTAAATTACGTCTGCACATATAGAAGGACATTCTTTGATTTGATTTGTATTAATTTAGTATTTTAACTTTCCAAAAATGAATTATTAATAAAGATTTTTGTAATTTTACTTTGTATAATAAATAGAAAATATATTAAAGGTATAGAACTTCATCGATCTTATTTTTGTGTTAAAGTCAATACAGTGTTTTAGCCCTCTCAGTGCCACAGGAGGAAAAACAACACTGTTTTCTTTATTTTTGTCCTTTAACCACAGCTACGTTGATTTGCTTATTTAATAAAAGAAAATTAAAAACCAGATGCAACCGTCTGATTCCACCTCAGGAGCCGCACGCAGCGACACCAGTGACGTTTTCGCAACCGCGCTGGACTCCGGATCGTTGGCTGCGGTTAGCTGTGTCCTCCAAACCCTCCACTCTCTGCAACACAACCAGACCAGTTCCCGGCAGTCCACTGTGGTTCCTCCAGGAGCTTGAACCAGGGAGCGCGACCTTCAGCGCCAAGAACGTCTACGGGAGAACCTTCATGCGGGAGCTGGAAGGACGCGCTGCCAGCAGTGCGCCAGCCGGAGCGCCACCGACGCCGTGGATGGCGAGGAGGAGGAGGAGGAAGAGGAGGAGGAGGAAGAGGGGAGGGAGGAGGAGATGGATGGGGAGGTGGAGGTGGGAGGAGGCGAGCAGCTGGATGTCCTGTTCGAGAAGGAGCAGGGTGTGGTGCGACGGGCCGGATGGCTCTCCTTCAAAGCTCTCATCACCGTCAGCAAGGACAGGAAGCTGGAGCTGGTCGCTCGCCGCAAGTGGAGACACTTGTGGGTGACACTGAAAGGTAACGCCACCGCCGCCTTAGCAACAAATCGATCTGAAGGAATTCATTATTTAGGAATTTATTTAGGAAACTTTACTGATAAAATCAAGTGAGAAGTTAGATCCCCATAAGACTCAATACTATCTTTCTCGCAACCAGTGGAGCTGCCCCCTGCTGGTCGTTAGAAAGAAGGCCAGTTGTTGGCGTCATTTCACAAACCAGGAAGCTCTGTCCGTTGTGTATATATATATATATACGTATATAAACTGTCAATAATAACAGTTGCTAAGCTACCATTTCCTCACATATCCGTACTGAGCATGTGCAGCTCTTTTGGCCCCTCTGGTGTGTAATAATGGATCGCTGCGTCCCCTCAGGTTGCACTCTGCTGTTTTACGAGACTTACGGGAAAAACATGAGCGCCGAGCAGGAGCTTACTCCTCGCTACGCTCTGCTGGCCGACGACAGCATCGTCCAGGCCGTCCCCGAACACCCCAGGAGGGAGCACGTCTTCTGCCTGAGCAACTCGCACGGAGACGTCTACCTGTTCCAGGTGAGACGACCACTCACACACACTTTTTATTTCATCCATTATTGTTATTTATTTTTGGTTTTTGTGCAGATTTGTGCAGGAACTTTAGGATGTTTGTTGGCAAGTTTAGTGAAATTGAGATGTCTGAGAGTTGAGCTGCTGTTGGAGCGTCCTTGAATGCACCACAAACAACTGCAATCGAATCTGAATCTCGTTTCTGTAAAGAACATTTTAACATTACATCTCTGTTCACACTCTTTTTATTTCATTCATTATTGTTGTTTGGTATTTCTGGTTTTTGTGTAGATCTTTGCAGGAGTTTTATCTGAGAAGCAAACATTGTGGTAAAACTGTTGTCCTTGAATGCACAACAGACAACCAGAATAAAGTTTCAATCTCTTGTTTCTGTAGAGAACATTTCTAACATTTCTGAGGGAAACTGCGGCCGTTTTTCCGGGAAGTTCTCGCCCCGTTCTTTCTATATTTGAATCCTCTCAGTTCTCTCCACATTGGCTGACTTTTGATTGCTGGCTGCGTCTCTTCTCCTCATCGTGTGTGATTTCAGTCCCAGAACGGTGTGAATGAATGAGACGCAGTGTTGGGAGGAGGGTTGCGGTTTCTCTGCGGCACTGAACCATCAGCGTCACCACAAACATGCACACAGCCGGAGCACATTTTAGGAGTTCAATGTGGATTGTAGTTTGAGTCCTACAGAGGATAACAGCAGAAAGCAGGACTTGAGAGGGTCAGAGGTCAAAGAATTGGTCTAAAAATAGACGCAACATGTTTCCTGTGTTCCTTGATGGCGGAGGCGTTGTTGACCTGAAGGGAACATTTGTCTCTGTGAGCATTTATCTTCATCCTCGAGCTTTTTACGACCTCAGAGAGCACTTTTTCTTTAATTCCCAGAGTAGCTCTCACTCCTCTGAGCTGTAGAGTGTGTTTACAGACACACAAATCACACAGCAGTTCATCGACACGTCTCCATGGTTCCCCCGGAGGGCTGAGGAGGAGCAGGAGGAGGAGGGGCTGAAGATGGAGGGTGAAAGCCCTCTAATGGGAGTCACAACACCCGGCTAATTACTGCAACAAATGCCCCTCTTTACGACAATGACCCCGACAACGAGCCGCTAAATCCTCCGAAACAAAAACACCTGTTAGTGCGAAGAAATGAGAGCGTCTGGTCTCCATTTGACCATTTCTTTTATTTTTAAAGCCCTCCCTCCTCCTCCAGTCAGAAACCAGAGTGTCTTCCTGTTCCTGCTGTCTGACGTTTGAATGACGGATGTGCTGTTTGACACTAGAAGGATGTTTTCACATTCATCTGGTCCAGAATGCAACTTCTACAGTTCGATCCACCAGACCACAGACAGGAAAACTCCTGATCAATATTCACAGGAAATAATCTTCATCCAAATCTCTGGTTTTACACAAACTTCCTGCAGTTACTAAGTTCACTGTTTTGGTTCATTGTACAGTTTTGAATATAATATATACACTATACAAATAACTCTATAATAACTGGATTTCACTGACAGTAAAAATGTGAATATCTGCTTGTTTTCTTGGTCTTATTTGACAGTAAAGTGGTTAGATTTGTTTGTTTTGGACTGTCAACTGAAACAACCAATTTAAATATATCAGATTTTGGCTTTGGTGTGATGAGACTCAAACAGTTTAATCAATTAATTGCCATTTATCAGCAGATTCAGCGACAAATTTAAAAATGGTAACGCCTTGTTTTTTTCATTTCTAATTACATTTTTGATAATTTTTCTTGTTTTATTTAGTTTCTTTTATATTTATTTCAATTATTCCTCATGTTGTTTTTTGTTGTTTGTTGTTGTGTGATACCCGTTCCTGTTAATATTCCTTGTTAACCATCCTCGTCCTCCTTCAGGCTACCAACCAGACCGACCTGGAGAACTGGGTGACGGCGATCCACTCGGCGAGCGCCTCGCTGCTGGCGAAGCGTCAGCGGAAGGAGGACACGCTGCGGCTCCTCCGCTGCCAGAGCCGCTCGCTGCTGCACAAGATCGACATGGACGGGAAGATGAAGAAGATGGCGGAGCTGCAGCTGTCCGTCATCAAGGAGCAGAAGAACAGGAAGGCCGTGGAGAGCCAGGTCAGTGTGTGCCGGAGGTTCACCAGGACCAGAGAGGCCCTTTAATGGAGGCAAATTGGCCCATTAAGGTCGTTAGTGAGCTGTGATCTTCTGCCGGGGTCACAGGTTCAATTCCCTTTAAGGTTCAGTGGGTGCAACAGTGTCAGCTGTACTGTAAATATATACAACAAAAACACACCAAAACAATTTAATTAAGTTCCTATAATTGATAAATGAAAAATTGACCCAAAATTGATCAAAATCAGCCCACCGGGAGTTGATATGTGGCAACATCTGTTTTAAACGGCCATTTTATAATTTGAAAAAAGTCAGAAATGGATACAGCATCTCAATAACCCCCAAAACCAACTCCAATTTTGTCTAAATCGGCTGAACAATTGCTGAAATATTGTCCAAAAAAGTGATTATTAACTGCCCAACATGTGTAAGTCAACATCCAGCGGAACCTCACTGTACATTGCGTCGACTAATATGAAAAGTGGTGAACATATTTTTGAAATAGTTTGGAGTAAAAATTTTCTTTAATGGGTCATTTAGTCTCAGATTCAGTCTTCAAGGTCTAATTCTTCCTCAGAACCAGACAGACGTCTGGCAGCGGAGGTCAGATAATTCCACTTGTTAATGGTTCAGTTCGCTCTTTTTTTTAGACATTAGAAAGTGATGGAGATGGAAGGAAACATTGGAAATCATGAATCAGGGACATTTCAGGTCAACAACTGCGATGGAAACATTTGTGGTTTGGAGTCAGCGTGCAGCCGTTACTCGTTTTTATTTCAAGAAAAATTATGATTTTACTTCACTAACGGACAAAATGACTTAATTTGATGCACAATTTGGATTCTCAGCCTGTTGTAATGAACTAAACTCGCTCTGTTTCTGACATTATTATGAGTTTGAGAGGGTTTTCCTTTGCTAAGTGGAGCCACGGTGATGTTAGCGAGGACCGTGGAGACCCTGAGCTCAGGTGAAAGTGTTAACTGAAAGAATAACGTGCAGAGATGAGGGATCTTATAAAGCTGTTAGCATCCTGCTGGCAGCGTTAGCAGCTCTTGAGCGCCAGAGGAAACAGTAGAAGTCTTTACATAACAAACAGCCTTGAGGATGTTCTGGCAGCGGCGGAGCAGAAAAATGTCCAATCTCACATGGAGTGGAGTTTAATATCTGTTCCAGATGTTTCGGGCTGTTACCGGCAGCCTGAAACAACAAACAGTTTCCCGCTAACGACGGAGCCAGATGAGGCTGCTGAGAGTGACATCACGAGGCGAATGTTGAGGTGGTGACAGCGGCGTAAAATCCAAACCTGTGTGAGAGAAAATACACCAGAGTGAGGTTTGATCGTCTCAACGGACACTTTAACAGCAAGAGGATGGACTCCAGTCCCTTGGTGGCCATTCTTTATATGTCTGTGTGTGTAGTAAAACCACCACTCACACTATCGCTTATTATGACTCACTGAATCAATTATATATTTATGTCATTATTGGATTTTAAACTTTATTTATGTATTTCATATGGCAGCCATAGATTCACTGTGTTCAAGATAAAAAGCTAATAAAAAAATAAAATACGCAAAGATCATGCAGGATAAAGACATTCAAAATAAGAAAATATAAAGTAAGAAGGTCAAATATAAAAAAAACAAGCGACAACACAGAATTAACAAAAGCTGCAGTTCCTCTGGCGGCCACTAGAGGCTGGCTCCAGCAGTGAGTTGATCTCCGTATTAAAATGTCCAACTTTACAGCAGAAATAACTTTATGCTAACGTCCGCCTATATCGCTTGCAAATATGACGTAATGTCCTTCCTTTTAACAACAAGAATTGCTTTGAATTTGCTTTGCTCCGTTCTTGGGCTGCAAATGATTTAAAAGCAGCGATTTAGAAAGCTGGCGTAAATAAAAGAAAAACAACTAGACGCTGTGATTCTTTTAGTGTCGTTATTTTTGACAAGCAGCTTTCAGTGCTGTTGTCTTTGTGTTAAGCTAGCTACATGTATACAGAGACGCAGTTACGCAGTACCTCACTAGCACTGCTGTACGACGGGTTTTAGACATACCGAGGTCTGAAAACTGTTTTTTTGTATACCTCTTGGAAAAAATATAGCAGTGGTGTGTACGGTCATGCTCACCAGTGGTGTGGGTACTCAATAATTAAGGGTACTCGTGGGAAATGAGTCCTCGGTGCTGGTGATAACAGCCCGTTTCAGGCACTGATTGGTGGTTGAGGGTTTCGAGCTGTATTGTCCTGCTGAAATCTCGCTCTCATAAGCAGTGAAGTAGCTCAGTTGATGATTTAATTAAAGAAACAGTTATGAAACGTGGAACTGAAGACACAGTGCAGATTGTATGTATCATTTAGCAGCTGCTTAATCTCTTTCTCTGAACTGTGAAACTGATCCTGGCGCTGTTGTTTGAACTCTGACGGGAGATTAAAGGCTAATCTCACTGCTCGACATTCAATTACACATCCACTCTGGAGGAGAGACGCGGGAGAGAGGTTTTCTCTCGTATATATTCTCTCAAATGTTGTTTTATTTTGTGTGTGTGTGTTTAATGAGGACTTTTATTTCCAAGTTTAACATATCTGCTGAGTTAGCGTGGGAAAGAGTCAGAGAGCGAAGTAACGAGGGAGGACAGGATGGAGAGAGGGGGAGGAGAGGGGGAGGAGAGATTCCTTTCATTGTGTGGAGATGTTAGATTAATGTGATTGGGAGAAGAGAGGACTAATAACAGAACTAATAAACAATATCTGACAGCCAATAGAGACTTTATTGTTGAGTACCCCAAAGTTTTATGCCAGATGTTAATGTGTGTATGTTCGGGCATTATCAAAATCATCATAATCATCTTTGTGGACAATATTTCAGGAACTTCTTGGCCGATGTGGACAGTTTTGGAGTTGGTTTTTGAGGGTTATTGAGGATGCTGAATACATTTCAAACAACAAAATGGCTGTTTAAACTGGAAGCAACCATATTTCAACTCCTGGTGACCTGATTTTGATTCATTTTGAGGTTATTTATACGTTTAATACACGACCGCAGTGGGAAAACTGTGTCTTTGGTCAATGACAAAATGCTGCACAGCTGAAGGATGTTTATAAAAATCACCCGACCATAGTTCTCCATATTTAAAATAGAAAGCAAAAAATCAGGAAACCAATCATTTTTAGTTTTCTCATTTTGCTGTTTATAGTTTATTGACTGAAAGTCGTAAACTGGGATTTTTGTCTGAATGAACTGGGTCCTGGCAGGAAGCTGCTCAGTGATTATATAATAAATGACCCTGCGCAGTGTCCCTGTGTACAACCCTGTTGTGTGCTGCTGTGTGCAGATCCTGCAGTGGGAGCAGAATCTGGAGAAACTGAACCTGGATCTGTTCCGGTTGCGGTGCTACCTGTCCAGCCTGCAGGGCAGCGAGCTCCCAAACCCCAAGAGCCTCCTCGCTGTGGCCAGCCGGCCCTCCAAGAGCATGCTGGGACGCCTGGGGGTCTTCTCTGTGTCCTCCTTCCACGCCCTGGTAAGAACTGCCTCCATCTCCTTGTAGACCGTCTCACTCTGTAGACAGAGAATCTCTCACGGTGGGACCTCTCGTCTCTGCTCAGGTGTGCAGTCGGGACGAGGCGATGTTGAGGACTCGGAGTCGGACTCTGTCGGGAGGCAACCTCAGGAGGAGGGGCCTGCCGTCCTCTCTGAAGGCCCTGGATGGACTGAGCAGACGCAGGAGGGACGACAGACACTCCACGTCCCAGGTACAAAACCCAAAAACACCGTACAATACCCACCGTACACTGCAACAACAGCCAGGTACTGAACTAGAAACGGGAGAACTCAGTTATTTAAGGTGGACTTTCATAAAAGAAGTCTTTTGGTCACTTTATTGAGCTGAATTTGAGATCATTCATTTATATTTCTATGCGTTTTGTGATCAAACATTTTTCACAACCTATAACCAGAGCCAATGTCCTAGGATGCATTTTCCTTCTTTCATTGTGCGAAAGATGAAATCAGCGCTGACTGTCTTTTATTTACTCCGATCATAAACCATTCCTACAATCTGGAATCCTGAGCAGGTCTGAGGAGACAAACAGTTCAGGGGTTAGTTCTCTCCGTGTTGTCTGTCAGCCTCGCTCTATCAGCTCTCCAAAAAAGGCAAAATGCCACAAAACACCTTTAAAAAAACCAACCTGATCTCACATGTTTGCAGTGAGGCTGTTTTCCGACCCAGCTTCAACTGTGGATCATCAGCCAGCTGAAGTTCCCATCATCCTCGGCTCCTGAGGGCCCCCTTCTTTGATAAACAGCGAGCTATTTTAGGACTCGGAGAGTCTGGGATTTAGAGTCCAGAGGAGATAAATCTCTCTGCAGCTGAAGGTTTATTTTGGCTGCGATGCCGTACACATCTCCGTATTAACGAGTCCTCACAGCGTAAACACACTTTTATCAACCTGAAGGGTAAAAAAAAACACGTTGTAACTATCCTGGTCGACATTATATGGCCAAAAGTCTGTGGACACGCGGTTTATTTGGGAGGTTCTGGCTCCACCAGCTGTCAGATGTTGCAGCAGTTTGTCTCCACAGTCCAGCTCTGGTTTTATCTTCCAATCAGCAGGTGATTTACTTTCTGCTGCAGAAAACGGACCAATCAGAGAGCTCTCTGAGGTGGCTAACGATTTTGTAGCTGCTTTTTTGTTCAAGCTTGAGAAATAATTTTTATTATTTTCATTCACTATTTAAACATCTGTTTCTGGTTCTAAAAGGCGCGTAAAGTGTTCTCATGTGTGAATACCTTCAGGAAGCAGTCGTTCTCTCTTTTACAAAAATACTGTCTGGCCAAAAGTTTGTGGACACGGTTACTCTCACGCTAGACGGTCTGAGATCTCAGCCCCTATCAGTCCTTCGGACATTTCTAAATGCAAAGTAATTGTTTGAATGGCCGCTAACAAACATACAACCTTTACTTCAAGGACACGCCTCACCTGAAACAGTGCTCTCCCCCCAATTTACCTCCAAAACTTTGAAAAGAGACGTCCTGTGCAACGTCCAGTTTAGGCAATTACAGCTTTTTATCTCATAATTTCAACTTTTTGCTTCATAATTTTTACCTTACATGAAATTGTTTTTATTGACAAGGCTAAGTTTTTTTATGTTTTTATTTTACTGGCAGTAATGGGCTTCCATACCAAACAGTAATAATACAAACAGTATTCACCAATTATGATTATTAGTAGCAGACAGAGGACATCCCGGCTGCGAGCCGAGCTGCTGCTAACGTTAGCTCAGCTTGTTTCTCTGATAAGATCCAGACGAAACATATTCTAGCTTTAAACTTGATTTACAAGAAGTTGTGTTTGCATGCATACCGATAAAGAATATAATGTATTTTAGAGAGTTTGGCTCGTTTTATCTCTCTTAGGATCGTTTTTACGTCTGAAATTTTTCAAATAGGTGAATGAATACGTTTCTCTCACACGATCCTGAACTTGCAGACTGTAGCGGGAAATCTTGGTCAGTGGTCCAAAAGAAAAAAAAAACCCAAAGATAATGAAATAAAACCTTGAAACTGCTGCTGAGTGCTGAGTTTTGTGGATCTGTCCTCCGATCAGACCCGATGAGGTTTCTGGGCAGACCCACAGAGACCGTCTGATCTCTGAAGGACATGTGGAGTTAATCGCTGCGCCGTCTCTGCAGGAGACAAACAGCTGCTTTCGTCCAGCAAACATCTAACAGACGCCCACACAGTCACTGGACTCATCCAGGAGGGGGGGCGGAGGAGACGGTTGTTACTGTAAAAAGGTTAATTCCTTCCAGAAAACTCTGACAAAGTGGTGACTGTCAATAAAAGAGCGTTGGTACTCTAAATGTTGGTGTACGTTGAAGTCTTTCAGCCGACGTCATCGTGTGACTCACAGTCTTTCAGTTCTTTCTCCTGTTTGATCTTTGAGGTGAAAACTGATCGGATTAAAACAATAAAACAGGAAGTTAAAACAGGAAGAAACGCACAAAAACATTTTGTATGTTGAAGAAAGTCATGAGTTGTTGTTGAAGAAAACAACATAAGTGATAAAACTCGGTTCAACCCCCTGATCCCTGAGTCGCTCATTCACGCAGATTTGAGAACAACTGAAGACTTTCCATCAGTACTTTCGTCAGATCAGACGTAATCACAAAGCGTTTCGTGCTGTGAAATATAAATGTCTATAAGTGTACGAAGGACACAATCTGTCCAGTAGGTGTCAGCGTCATGCTTTAGATCCTCGTTACTCTACAGGGTAGGATTCTTAAAACCTGGAGGCCGTTCTAATCTAGTGTTTTAATTGTATTATGTTTTTAAATTAATTTATTTCATAAAAAATATATATATATATATTCAGATTCTATCACATTAAACACGTGTGATACTTTGTAAAGTTTAATATTTTTTTATTCATCAAACGACAGACAGTATTTAACACATGATACCTTTAAAGATACAAAGTTTTCTGGACATTTCACCTGTGAAACAAATATAATTCACACAATTATTTGATTTTATTTTGTCAACACAGACGTGTCCAGAGATTCACTGAACAATAAGAAAACACATGATGATAAGATAAGATGTCCCTTTATTGATCCCTCGTAGGTGGAAACAGTACAGAGGAATGTAGTGCAAAGAGCAGAGAAAGAATCAAATATAACAATAAGAATATAAATATATACATTATATACAATAAAGTGTAATATGGTTGTTTTTAACAGGTTAATAGTTAACATTCATATAAAAGATAAAATATTAGTGTCACATGTGCAGCAGGATGTTTCCTTATAAGGAGTTTTGGTTGACGATGTGTTTACTGACCGTCGGTGGTCCTCAGACTCCAGACTGACTGCAGCTCCTCC